TTTGGTTTTAATTGGAAACTGTCTCTTTAAATTTCAAGGAGATCTCTTCGCATGCGTAGTAGAACCCTTCAAGGGTGGGGCTGGGGTGTCCACTAGCTCAGGCACCCCTATAGTCCCCAGAATGGAGGTACACAGACAGCAAGGGACCAATGAACAGATACCAAAAGAAAGGAATGTCCACAGCTTTATCTCAGCGGTTCTGCCAGGCGTCTGTGGATGCTCCAATCCTTCCCCCACGTGGTCTCACCCATGATGGCGGCTCCTGGAGCAGCCAAGTGTCCTGGACTAGAAAGCAATAGATTTCTTGCTTCTGCCACAAATTCCCCCAGCTGTGAGCCTTCCAACCTTCTAAGTATTCCTTTGTATGTGGTTCAGAGTTCTGAGACCATCCCCTGCGCCTGCTTAGTCGGTATTCTGTGTTGCTGTTGACGGAGCTCTTTGCTACACGCCCACCTGATCCGCCATCTTGTTCGTTCTCCAAAAATAAATATATTTAATATAACAGTTTTACTAATATTGACAAGTTTTCCTTTAAACTCTAAAATATTTTTCCTTTGTTCAGTTGCAAATGGTGCAGGAAAAATGTAGAAATGTAGAACCTACCTTTTATAATTAAATTAAAATTCAGAGTTCTGTTTTCCTGGCAGCTGATACTATAATTATCTGTTAATGTCCTTTACAGCTCTGTCGTACATAGAGTAAGAAAACCAAGCTCCCATCTCTTAGTGAAAAAGTCACTCCAAGTCTATTCACAAGTCCTCATCATCACACTAGCTAATATTCATACTTTTCCCAGTCACAGTTCCATGTACCTGCTGTATCTTCACTCTTTTAATCCTCACTATTGTATGGTGCTTTAGGCTAATGCATTGGACTGTAAAGTTGGTTTGAACCACAAGGTCAAGAGTTCAATCTCACCAGCTGCTCCTTGGAGACCCTATACAGGGTCAATGTGAGTCAGAACCGACCAGACAGCATTTAACAATAACATTTTACAATAGAATAGAGACTCCTGGTATGGCACTGTAGGATAAGCTAACTGGACTTCTTGTTGTTGTGAAGTGCTGTTGAGTCAGTTCCAACCCATAGCAACCCTGTACAGGGTTTCCGAGGAGCAGCTGGTGAGCTTGAACCACTGACCTTGCAGTTCAAACGACTTTGCAGTCTGGCGCATTAACCCACAGTGCCACGCCAGGACTCCTTCTAACCATAAAATCGGGTTCAAACCTGCCATCTACTCCTCGGAACACTATACAGGGTCGCTGTGAGTCAGAACTAACTCAGTGACACTTAACAACAACATCACACCATATGGAATCCTGGTATGGTGCTGTAGGATAAGCTAACCACAGGTCGGCAGTTCAAACTCATCAACCGCTCCTCAGAAATCCTATAAAGTGTTGCTATGAATCAGAACCAACTCAATGGCACTGAACAATAGCAACAATAATATTACGCCATATAATAATAATCCCCACTATGCCGCTGAGATAATTGAGGCACTAGGCATTCTAAAGTAATTGTTTTGTGTAAGGTTACAAAGCTAAGGAATGACAGAAATGGGATTTGAACCCAGAAAAATCTGCCTCTAGTAGCCAGAATCTTTACTACTATATGGCCCATCTTTTCTTGCCAACCATATTCAGTCTGTCAGGTAAGAAAGGAAAGGACAGTTCTAACAGTGGCACAAGGTAACACAAAATTCTTTTTTTGTCTATAAATATGAACATGTGTATCTATGATAAGTATTGATTGACAAGGACTGTGCCAGTAAGCTCCAGGAAATAGACAAATAAATCACAGATGATTATGCCCCAAAGAATTTAGAATTAAGAGAAGGGAAATAAAATGCATAATAAGCGCCCGTAGTACAAGACATAACCGACTCAATGACACATGACCACCATCACCAGACACAAAGACTTACAGAGGCATTGGTAGAATGCAGTAGAGAGAAGAGAAAGTTATTCCGTTAATGGAAAGACACTTTCCTTTTTTTTTTTTTTTTGTTATTGGGGAGGGATCACTGGGGAGACTTTAGGATGCAGGAAAACTTCCTGAAGGATGCAATATAGGTAAGAAAAGATATGTTGGACTTGTCATTATATCACAAAGTCAGCCAGCAATTTGTGTATTTCTTATAGTAGTAACTATTTGAGCTAGGCCTTGATGTACAGGAATGACTTAGGTACCTGAAGTTTGTACCAGGGCCAGTCCTCAGGCACACTGAAGGAGAAAGCAGGTAGAAGGACCCCAGGTATGTGAGATTGAGTCCAGGTGGTATTCTCAGGGCAGATTTTAGAGTCCTGAATATCCAAGCTTGTTGAAGTTCCTTTACAATGAAGACCAGAGAGGAGCTCTTGTCTTTTAGCATGGGTAGCCCATGTAGTAAAACACAGCACTTCCTGGGAGCTCCAAAGTGCTAAGGTTCTGATTCCTGTAAATGTGTATTTCCTTTGAGTGTTTCACCTAATCTTGCTTGGCTTTATTCCTGATTAGATTGCAGTGGAGGTCACTGAATCATTTGTGGAGTACATCAAAACCAAGCCCATTGTGTTTGAAGTCTTTGGGCATTATCAGCAGCACCCCCTTCATCTGCAGGGACAGGAACTGAACAGGTTTGAACCCCATGAGCAAAGATTTCTGTTGTTGTGATTAGATTGTTTTGGTTTTTGGTAGTCATTTGCTGGAAAGGAAGAAATTTAAGGGATTAAGATAGTTTTTTAAAATCCCCTTATGTTTCCTCTCACCCCCTAAATACTAATTTTAGGTACAGCAAATTGAATTTTGCCCAGGTGACCTTGAATTTCATCTTTTTTATTTTGAATAAGGTAAAAATGTTCATAAGGATCTATCATGAAAATTGCGTACAGTTCCTAATGACTCAGGACTTTATGAAATAAAAGCTCTAAGAAGTAGTATCAAAATTGGTGAGGCGATTCATGACGGGGATGATGATGGCAGAGTATCTGTGTTCTCAAAAGGGTTTTCTGTTTCATCTGTTAACTACAGTTTACAGAAGGACTTTGGTTAAAATGTTTTAGCCTTAATTCCACAATGTGGGATTATGTCTGATGCCTGGTATTATGCCAGAATTGAAAATGCATAAGATTTGTTTCTAAAGGAAATTTAACATGCCAGGCTATCATTTTCATCTTTGCCTTCCTTTCTTTGCAGTCCACCTCAGCCATCTCGACGGTTCTTCCCTCCACCCATGCCACTCTCTAAACCAGGTGAGCACAGCTAGATTGTCTGCATGGTGTCCTCTGTGTGATGTTATCCTAGATAACTTTACAGAGAAAAGTCAGATTCCAATTCCTACTCCTCTTCTAACCTTTGAAGCTCTGACTAGAATTCTTAGTACCTGTTTTAGGATTAGAAGAAACAAATAGGGCTCTATCCCTGCCAATCCTTTGATTTTTATTTACTTCTTCAACCTGGGGCTGATTTTGATATCTACCTGTACTTAAATCTTTCTGTAACTTCTCCATAACTCAGGGAACTAAGCATTTCTTTGCATGTTCTATTATTCTGTTTATTCACTTATTTTGTTTTGCTTCTTCTTTCTGTTTATTTTCATCCTTTTCCTCATTGCCCACCTCCCTAATTTCCACCCCCAGCCCTATACTCATTCTCTACCCTTTTTACTCCTGTCTCCATCCTGTCTTCAGACCATGAGAGAAAGACTGAATTGGTTCGGTTTCTCATGTCTGGCGACGTGAATGTGCATGTGCTGGCATCCTCTGCTGCTGCCATCTTCCAGGATGGGGCCAACCCATTGCCACCTTTTCTCTTTCTGCCAGTTCCCAGCTGCCAGAGCGAGAGGGTATCCAAATGAGATAGTTAGTTGTAGAACCATCCTCAGGTGCTTGTCCTAGAGTTCAGCACTCCATCTAGATTACGTGAGATTTCCTTTAAAGAGCTTTAAGGAAGCACATTCTTTACTTGTGTCTCTTTTTGCATCCCTGGTAGCATAGTAAGTGGGCTGTGTGTTGGGCTGCTAGTCACAAGGTCAGCAGTTCGGATACACCAGTCACTTTCACAGGTGAAAGATGAGGCTGTCTGCTGTTGTAAAGATTTACAATGTCTAAAGCCCATTACATAGGGTCACTATGAATCAGAACTGACTCAGTAGCAGCGGTTAGGTGACCATAGTTGATGCTGATGTTTCTTTGGGTTCTCTGCATTTAAATCTATCTCTTGATTCTTGCTGCCTTTCCCATGTGTCCTCGAAGACTGACATTAGTGAGGCTTAGGGTTTTGCTGAGGAGACTTAGATTCTACTTTGACATTTTCTAAAACAACTTTTTACAGTTCCAGCCACCAAGTTAAACACCATGAGCAAAACCAGCCTTGGGCAGAGTATGAGCAAATATGACCTTCTGGTTTGGTTTGAGATCAGTGAACTGGAGCCTACAGGAGAGTAAGTCCAACTCCCTAAATGATTAAGGTGAAGTGGTTTAAAATTGGAAATGTAATTTTGAGTTTCTCGAATCATTGTTACTGTCAAATTCCAGTTTTTGAATTGAATTTTGGTGGTCTTGGTATTATTTTTGAGATAAATGTTTGTTGGAGAACTGACTATCCAGTGTAGTAATTTGCCTTGTTAGAAGCAGGAACATCATAGAGACTTATTTAGCAATAGAACTTAAATTAGGAATAAGTGTGGAGACATACATTGTTATGTGGGGAAGACAGTATACATATATGGTGGCTTTTATCAGCAGCAAAGCTGTTAAAAATGGAGGCAGAATTATATTTCACATAATATGATTAAGATTTATATCAATAATCTCAGTGAGAGGTTGTGGGGGCAGAATGTTTCCCAAGGTCAAGGTTTCCCAATCTTGTTGAGGGCGGTGGGATGTTTTGTTTAGCACTGTCTGTGCCTCTATCCATGAGATGCCAATAACACTTCCCCCCATGGTGACAACTAAAAATGCCTGCAGATCATGCCAAATGCACCCTAGAGAGTAATATCACCCCTGGTTGAGAACCACTTTCCTTGATCAACATTAGCATACTTTAGGAGCTGTGTTAGAATCAGTGAAAAAGCCAATTCTTGATTTTAGCTGTTTCTAAAATTCTTTAGGAGGAAAAAAGAAAGAGATTGTACTCCTGAAACAGAAACAAGGGGCTGCACCAGTTAAACATGAATGAGGGGAGTAAATGTTATTGTAATGTTCCTTACCAGGATACATTTAATGAGTTCTTACTGTTAGGTACGCTGGTCCCATCCCTGTGTCTGGTTGTCACTATCAACATTACTTAGATGAATTTGACTTTTCATAGGCAAATCTATGTGATTACAACTTGCATTCTGAATGAGAGGCAGTTACAGTAATAGTTTCTACTATTTTGATTGCTTTCTGGAATCTTAAAAAAGTGTCTAGAGTGTTAACAGCTCGGTTTCTGCCCTCCTGTCAATACCATTGCACTTACACAGTATTTACTGAATATCTATGACACCAGAGGCTGGGAGGAAGCCAAGCATTGATTGTCCTTTAGTACTTCAGTCTCAAACACTTCACACATAGATAGGTGAACACGTTTTATCCATGCAAGTGACCATTTTATTCAATGCCAAAAATTGGCTTTAAAAAAAAGATATGGTCGTCAGAGGTTAAGGGGGAAAAAAATTAAAACCCACCAGGATCTATAGCAACCAGGCACAACCTTGCAGTTGAAGTAAAACTTAGTTTGTAGTAAGCATTCTGTCTAACAGTTGTTTTGCGCTTTTATTTTTATAGGTACATCCCAGCTGTGGTTGACCATACAGCAGGCTTACCCTGCCAGGGAACATTTTTGCTTCACCAGGTACTAACAAGGGAGTAAAAGAGGCCTGGGTTAGGAGGGAACACCAAAAAGAATTTAGGCTCAGGAATGTAGTTCTTTCTGTTTCTCTGGGAGTTCTCCCTGCTTTCATGAGTTTGTGACTCTGAGACACTGTCCTTTCTTGCTTCTGATCTACATTGCCAAGGTGGGAGGAGCACTTATTATCCAGCTGGCTTCTCTTGGCTTTTATTTATTTATTTATTTTTGTATGTTTGTGTTTTGATGTTTCTTCCTTAAACCAGTGCGTATATATAGTCATATAGTATCTTCCATACAAATATTTTCAAAGAGTTGTTTTGAAAAAAAATAAAATAAAAATTCATATACCTGCTATGTTTTGTGCAGCTTCCATGCTATTTTATACATTTTTCATTTCATGCTATTTGGAAGCTCTGTACTTTCACAGCCAAAAGTTTTAATGGGAGCAGAAGGTAAAGATTTCAGTAGACTGAAAATCTGATCGTGAAGCATAGATCCCCATTGTTGTTGTTATTAAGAGTCATCGAGTCGGTTCCAACCCATAGTAACCCTGCATAAGGTTTCCTAGGAGCAGCTGGTTAGCTTGAACCACCGACCTTGCAGTTCAAACTGACTTTGCAGTCCAGTGCATTAATGCACAGACAGCACCAAGTAGGTTTGGTTTACTCAGTGCTTTAAAAGGCTTAAGTCCCAGGTGAGCATAGAAGCTGGGACCTCATCCTCTGTAACATACAACCTAGACATTTGATCTTAAAGTCATATCAGAGCTTGACTGAAATTCAGTCCCTGCCTCATTTTCCTTTGTTTAGAATTGCTGGGTGGACAGCATTTCCTGCTCTCTCTCCATGTCCTTCTTTCCTGCTTATTCTCCAATTGCCTTACCAGTAAATTCAGAACACAACAAAACAGGAGGAAATAGTAGATTACCACAATTAAATGGCAACCCTGCTTCATTACATAGGGCATCCAGCGAAGGATCACAGTGACCATCATCCATGAGAAGGGGAGTGAGCTCCACTGGAAAGATGTTCGTGAGCTGGTGGTTGGTAAGTATCTTCCATCAGCTTGTAAAGGAACCAGGATATTTAGAGATGTCATTATTCTCTTTTTGGAGTCCCAAAGTGTGTGGAAGATTGTACTGGAGAACATGGACCATGGAGAATGTAGGGGACCTGGGTTTGAAAATGCTCTTGTATTTTCCAACGTCCATCATTGGTTATTCAACCAGCCATTACTTTGCTCATCTAGGTGGGTATGGCTCAGTGCTAGAGGCTGTATGAGGGCACAAAAGAAGTCCCAACTGATTGTGTGTACTTACAGTTTAGGTGGGGAGATCTCATATATGTGCAAAACAACTTGATAATGTTATATTGAATAATTAAGTGCTGTCTTAGGTTCTCTGGAGGAGCCAAACCGATGATACACATACAGAGACAGAAATTTATTTCAAAGGATTGACTTACGCAACTGTGGGACTAGTAGGTCCAAAATCTGTAGGTCAAGTGGCACACTAGAAACTTCTACTGGCTATATCTTTTCCAAGATCCACTGGTCAGGCACAAGCCAGAGATTTCTGTAGGTTTACATACCAAGATTCACAGTCACAGTTCAGGTGATGAGAAAAGTGAAAAGTGTGGGGTCAAGAGAATCTACTAGCATATTCCTTAAAAAGAAAGAAAAAGAAATATATATATATATGTAAGTGGGGCTGTGTTAGTTTTTGGGAAAGAATTTGAATAGCTTCTGGAGAAGTATATACATATTGTGCTTTGGCTAGAAGTTTAGAGAGTCAATTAGTATCCCATCCAACAATTGGTGCCTATTATGTTTTGTGACGTTGATTGCTATTATCTCTATGCACAGCATTCTTCTACTCAAGTATCAGCATAGTCAGTAATGATAGTTGGGCACCATCTAGTTATTCTGGTCTCAAGCTAGTAGAAACTGTTTAGTGTGGCCCGTTAGTCCTTTGAACTAATTTTTTCCTTGAGTCTTTGATTTTTCTGTGCTGTTCTTTGCTCCAACATGAAAGATTGTCATATCTTACATGGCCACTTGCAAGTTTTTTAAGACCTATTTACCAAAGTTCTGGTGTGGCACTGTGGGATAAAACATTGAACCACAAGATCATCTGAACCACAAGGTCAGCGGTTCAAATTCACCAGCTGCTCCTTGGAAAGGCAAGGTTGCTGTGAGTCAGAACCAATTTGACGGCACTTAACAACAACACCAACAACTCACCAAAGTAGGATGTAGAACATAGTCTTTATGTACTCTGTTATGCCAGCTGTCCTAGATGTTCTCAGAGACTGTAGTCTAAGCCTTCAAGCTCTGTGACTCAGTCCTTCAAAGTGTTTGGTAATGGCTAAAAAGTTTGCTTAATTTTGATTTCTGTATACTGTTCTCCACAGGGTAAGTAAAAAGCATTACTACTCGGGTTCCGGTTCATACATGCATGAGTTTATTCCAGACAAAATGTGTTTCAACACGTCTCTGTGATCAGTGGATAGCTGCAGATGAGTTCTCTCAATAACACACACATGTTAGTCTCATTAGGGTACCTTCAAAACAAAGGTCCAGTCTAAACAGTGTCTGACTTCCAAGGGGATCTTTTGGGCTAGTTAAATTCAAGGCACAGAGGTCAACTCAGAAGGTTATGGTGACTATCTTGTGGGGATTCTGAAGAGCTAATCTTGATGGAGGAGTCCTGGGTGGTGCTGTAGGGTAAGCACTGCACTGCAAACTGAAAGATCCACTTGCCACTCCTCAAAAACCCTATTACCAGGTCGCTCTGAGTCGGAACTGACTCAATGGCAATATCAATCTTAATAGAATTTCTGAAAGGACACAGGATGATCATGGGAGCTCATGATGAAGTAGTTTTAAGAAAACTGAAAACTACATTGTTGAGAAGAAGGCCAAGAAAGTTGTGATGAGGAATTTTTGTCTATCACAACAATGTGCCTGCTTATTCTTCAAGGCTGCCCAATGATACTTTTGTTTGGAAACCTTACCTAATCCAGCCTACAACAATGATTTTGCCCCGTAATACTTCTTTTGTTCCCAAAACTCCATCCACATTGAAAAGGAAGACCATTTGAGTCATTTGACAATGCCAGACTGCCATTTTGACATGTGCAAATCACCTTCAGAAGTGTATACACCTAGGTAGAGGATATGTTGAGAAATAATAGCTTCATTTGTATTTTCATTAAAGGTTTCTATGGTTTTGTAGCAATACTTTTTAGGTTACTCTCGTATACCTGGATATATGTGCAGCATGTGCAAGTATGTCTGTAGAAATATCCTGTGACAAACATATATATTAACTTAAGTGAGAGGATATGCTTGTGAGTACCGTTGATTTTGCATACCTCGTAGTGTCTTCCTTTGCCTTGGTTATGTACTGACCTCCTCTTTACTGTGTGGTGTCTTTCCCTTCACTCAGGTTAATTCATGTGTACTATCTAGTGATTTTCCCTTCCTCTCCCTCCCACCCCTGGTAACCATCAAAGAATACTTTCTGCCAGTATATCCATTTATATTCTAGCAGCACACCATACCCCTAAGGAGACGCTCCTTTAAACTGATTGGATGATTGCATCAGATCATATAGTGAAAGGTCATTACACTACCTCTCACTACCATTGGGAGTCCTGGTATGGCACTGCAGGATAATGTGCTGGACCACAAGGTCAGTTTGAACCACAGGGTCGGTGGTTCAAACCCACCAGTCGCTTCTCAAAAACCCTATAAAGGGTCGCTATGGGTTGCAACCTACTCAACGTCACTTAACCGCAACAACAGCAACCTCTACCATTGGAGTCCTGGTATGGTGTTGTAGGATAAGCACTAGACTGCTTACCCCACTAGCTGCTCCTTGGAAACCCTATGCAGGGTTTCTATGAGTCAGAACTGGATGATGACACTTAACAACAACACTACCATTACATTATTGTACCTTACCTTACCTTACCTTACCTGACATTACATTACATCAGCTAATCTAATATCTGGCCACACCACTGAGAATCATCATCTAACCAAGTTGACACATAAAAGTAACCATCACAACTACCAAAATGAGGACAAATGAAAAAGGCCTGTGTTAAGAAAATGCTTATTCACAGATCTCCTAAAGTGAAGCTGTATTAGTTTTGGGGAAGGATTTGAATAGATTCTGGAGAAATAAGAGGCCTTTTGTTTCGTTTCGTTTTGTTACTTTCCAGACATGGAAACATAGCAATGCGTATGGCTAGGAACTCATGGCTAGAGTGGAGAAATTACATTTAGGCATAATGAGAGTAACAATTAACTCAACGGTGTAAGCAGAGATTCCTAACCATGTTTGTGTCATGGACCCCTTTGGCAGTTTTGAAGCCTATATACCCCTGCTTTGCATTAGGTATTTTCAATGTGGAAAATACTTGGTACTATTAAGGAAAGTATAATATTGGAATATAATTGTTAAAACATTAAACAAAATTGTAAGAAGCACTCTTTTATTGGTTTATCAACTTCAAACTGGTGATGAATGTAAAGATATTTTACACTAATTTTATATGAATACACCTACTGAGGGACAGATTCACAGATACTAGTAATTCTACTGTGGTATATTGCCTCCCTTCATAATTGAAGGAAATGCCAAATATCAATTAGAGATTCATGAAAATAAAGATGTAATTTTTTTTTTTTTTTCTGTCTGAGTTCTTGGACCCTCTGAATTCTTGGACGCCTTTGGGGAGATCTGTGAATAAATTAAGAATCCCTGGGAGGCATTCTGGGGCTGCGGTTTTCAGAATCTTTTACGAATTAGTTTTCATCTGGAACACTAGTAAGTAAAGCAGAGGAGATGCTTTCTGATCAGAAAGGGTGACATAGGGTGAAAGCTGAAGTTACTAAGGCTTCTCTGAAAAACTCCCTGATTTATTTGCCTACTTTATTTACCAAACACTTACATGGTGCTTACTGTGTACTTATTAAGTACAGAATAAACCAAATGACACTCCAGTACCTGGGCTTACACCATGATTTAAAAGTACGTTTCTTGGCTTAATAAATTCATGTTGTGTTTTTAAGTGTGCCTATATTCTGATTTTTTTTCTTTCTTTCTTTTAGGCCGAATTAGGAATAAGGCTGAGGTGGATGAAGCTGCAGTTGATGCCATCCTCTCCCTAAATATTATCTCCGCCAAGTACCTGAAGTCTTCCCACAACTCTAGCAGGTGGGGCCCCCAAGGCGTGTGATGAGTCAGCCCCTATGGATTAACTGGTATACCAGTAGATTCCATAGTCACTAGTGACTCTTGATTCAAATGATGGAATGACTTCTTTGCACTTCAAAATGCAGTTTCCTCCCTTGTCTATCTCCCTCTCAAAAACAAGTAAATCTTCAGAGCTATAGTTATAAGGGTGACCAGTTCCCCTTATAGAATGAAAATGTTTAATCCCATGTGGAGTTTCAGTCACTATTAACACAATGACAAAGAGAAAGCAAGCAAAGAAAACTCTTTTTTAAAGTGCAAATAACTTATTACTGAGACGAAATGTTTCCCTGTGATACAGTTGCTGTGGAGAAGGTTATCACACTCCTGGGTATCCTGGGAACGTCTCCACCATGGCTTAATGAAGCCTCTTGTGTCCAGTCATTACTGCTGCTAGTATCGGCTCAATTATCTTCAGGATTTGTTATTTTCATTTATGCATAAAGTCTTCTCAGGCAGACTGTTTAAATAGCTAATTTTATTTTTCATTTTAAAGTTACTGAGTGCCATCAAGTTGGTTCCAAGTCATAGCAACCCTGCATAGATAGGGTTTCCAAGGAGCAGCTGGTGGGTTTGAACCACCAACCTTGAAGTGCTGTAGCGCCACACCAGAACTCCTATTTTTAACCCTAAAACCCCTTTTATAATTGTGTTGATTAAAGACAAAGCATAAAGTAAGCAGCCATTCTGCTTTCCCATGTTCATCTGGGGCTCTTGCCCAGGAAAGGAGCTGTGTCATTGCGCATGAAGACTTGATTTCTTCACCTGGCAAAGGCTGGAAAACAAAAACGTGGCTGTATGTTTTCATGTGGGCTCAGAATATACTGCCTTCGGGTAACATTTGCCAGTGCTTCTGTCTGTGCCTAAAAAAAATTGCTCATATGTTGGGAAGATGCAGAAATAAAATAAGACAATGGTCAGAAACAGAATTAAAAGGAAAGCTTGGGCCAAGATGAATTTCTTTCTGTTGTTTACCTGTATGATAGTTTTGCCTAGACTCTTATTATTCACTTGTTTGCATGTATGAAGAACTGGCTGTGGGGAAAGAAAGGAGTGTGAGAGCATGTGGATGTATGGGAAATAGGAGTGTATGTATGGGAAACAGAAGTAGCAGAGATTAAGAAGAGGGCTTTGACCTTCCGTAGACTATATTTGGAGTCGTGATGTGGTGCTGAGGGCTAATGCACTTGGCTGCAAGATCGGTGTGAACTGCAAGATCAGCTGTTCGAGCTTACCATACATTCCTCGGAAACCCTAATCAGGGTCTCTATGAGTCAAAACTGACTTAACAACACTTAGCAACAACTTAGGGAGCCTCGGTGATGCTGGAGGCTAAGCATTGGACTGTTCCAAAAGGTTGACAGTTCAAGCCCATCAGCTGCTCGTCAGAAGAAAGATGAGGCTTTTTTAAGATTTACAGCCTCAGAAACCCTGTATAAGGTTGCTATGAGTTGGAATCAGCTTGATGGCAGTGGATTGGGTTTTAGTTTTTTGGATTTGGACTATACTTGAGGAACTCTGGTGATGCTGTGGGTTAGGCATTGAGGTGCTAACCCATAAGGTCAGCAATTCAAAACCACGAGTTGCTCTGTGGGAGAACGTGAGACTGTCTGCTCCCATAATGATGTGCAGTCTTGAGAACCCTATATAGGGTCACTAGGAATTAGAATCAACTTGGTAAGAGTTGATTTGGGTTCTTAGGGTTGTTGTTTTTTTGACTAGGGCAAAATCTTGAACAATCTCACTTCCCTGAAGTCAGCAATAACTCCTTCCAATGCTCTCTCTTCTAGCAAACAATTTTAGCAATTGTTCAACTGGCATTCACTACCGTATTTTCTTTGCACTAAGAAATGTATCTTAAGTTTCCCTAGGTTACTTAGCAAAATACATGGAGAAAGATATTTGTTTGAAGTACTGGTTGTACTAACCTGGTTTACATTAGTGTAGCCTTACAAAGGCCTTTGATTCATTCTCAGCAGTGGGTTAGATGTTGTAGGAGATGATGAATTTGTTATTGTCATCAAAACAATTAGCTAAACTAAAGTATAATAAAAAAGATGCACACCTTAAACATTTTTGTTTTTTAGTATTGTTGTTAAATGCTGTTGAGTTGGTTCTGACTCAGAGCAACCCTATATAAGGTTTCCTAGGAGCATATGGTAGGTTTAGCAGTATTTATTTGTCAACCTCTTGTGCAGGGTCAAGGCCTTTTCTTTAATTACAGGCTCATTTATTGAACTTTTCATTGTTTTACTTGCAAAACTACACCCATAGTTTCTCATATGGAATAAGAGAAACTCAGTTTGATGGAATAAGAATGAGAAATCTGTGAATAAAATTTAAATTTAAAATTCTTTAAACTTTTTGAAATTCTTCCTTTCTTTATATTTATCTCAGCCAGTCTTAACAGTTGCTTTTTTAAACAACTCACCATTATTAAATCTTTTGAAAACATTCTATTTGGTTTCCACAGAAACAGAGACTCTCATTGCCCTCATATTTCAACGGTTTTTCTAATATTTAATTGTTGTTTTTGTTATGTGCCATCAAGTCAGTTCCAACCCTGATAGGGTTTCTGAAAAGTAAGCTTGAACCACCAACCTTGTGGTTTAAATTTTGCTGTCCAGAGCATTAACCCGCAGCGCCACACCGAGACATATTTAGATAATTATAAATAAATAACAATTGGCATAAACAAGTCTGGGACCAAATACAACTCATACATGACATAACATGCAACTCAACTCTTAGGAGCAATGTACCTGGTCATGTGAAAAAAATAGGTCACCAGTTCTCTTGTTAAGGATATTTAAAGAGAAACAGACATCCGAATTTATCTTTTAGGGACCTAGAGAACATAGGTTAATGCGGTGAGGTGCTAAATGGAGTTTGGTTAAGAGAATCTTCTGTACTATTTGTGTAAGATTAATGGTGAAGATTAGACTCACAGAACCCTTACTTTTATGTTATGTGTGTGTGTGTGTGTGTGTGTGTGTGTGTATATATATATATATTAGAATTTTTTTCCTGATAGACTGATAACAGACTATAACTGGCACGATCCAGTACTTCTTTTCATCCTAGACCTATGTGTGTATTGTTAACAGCTGAGTTACAGTTTTCCTTGAACGCCACAGCACACCTACTGCCGTTCTCAAGACTTAGTGTTCTCTAAAGGAAATATTAGAGGTCGTCTCCACAATCCTTTTTATGCCCAGCATTCTCCTTATTTGAATGTCGGGAGAGGGATCCATGCTACTGTGTGCCCTGTATCAAGCTGCCCATAGGATCCTCTGCTTGTTAATTGTCCACATGAATTCACTTTGCTTTATCAGCAAATGTGTCTTTTTTAATCTATGTCCTCTTTGCTTTTCTCTCATCTTTTTTTTTTTTTTTCCCTGCACTAGCAAAAGCCTTTTCTATGTTTTGCAGGTTCTTTCTTGATAAGGATATTCTTAGGTATTTTCCATTTGCTTCTTTGCATGTAAAGATTCTAGTTTGACAGACTGTCTTATGTTGCTTTGATTGCCATTTTCACTTAGTGATTTTTCCCATGCAGTCTTCAGCTGTCCCTAGAATAGAAAATACCTTATTCTGTTAACTATAATACACTTTTTTGAGCCCTGGGTCTTTCTGACATATGTACAATTCAGCATTTAGCTTCTTAATTGATTTGTATTTCAGACTTCTGAGTCATTTTGTCATTTCATTCACTAAACTTGCTCATTTTATCCTTAAACCCCACAACCCCAAATTTTCCTTATCTACATTGTTGTTGTTGTTAAGTGCTGCTTAATCGGTTCCAACTCATATTGACCTGTTTAGGGTTTCCAAGGAACAGCTTGTGGGTTTGAACTGCCAACCTTGTCATTCGCTGTCCAGTGCTTACTTACCCTATAGTGCCAGAGAAAAGAATAGGAAACAGAGCTTGAGATACTGTGTGAAATGAAAGGAGAAATATTCTACTTCATCTGTGTTACTAAGTAGAATATTTCTCCCTTCATTTCATACTGTATCTCAAGCTCTGTTTTCTGTTCTTTTCTTTGTCCTCTGCCAAAAGCTTTAAAGATGTGTTGGCATATGGCATATGACTTTGCATAACTGTTTACTTTTACTTGGTTTAGTCCTGTGCAACAGTAAAGACCAATTTTGTTATTTGGGTAGCTGTGTCTCTGAGAAATATTTTGTTTATTTTTAAAGGATTTCTTTTTCTGCTCTCTGGGGTAATTTGTTTTCTTTCTCTCCTCTTTGGGAATAGAAACATTGAAAAATCCTTCTTATGAAGTAAAGGTAGTTTTTTCTCCTCTCTCATCATCTGACTTAGAAAAGAAGACTGAAGAAATTGATGTTGCTGTTAGGTACCATCGAGTCGGTACCGACTCATAGTGACTTCATGCACAGCAGAACAAAACACTGCCTGATCCTGGGCCAACCTCACTACTGTTGCCACACTTGAGTCCGTTGATGCTGCCACTTGGCCAATCCATCTCGTTGGAGGTCTTCCTCTTTTTCTCTGACCCTCCACCTTACCAAACATGATACCCTTCTCTAGCAACTGGTCCCTCCTGACAATATGTCCGAAGTATGAGAGATGAAGTTTGGCCATCTTGGCCTCCAAGGAGCACTCTGGCTGTACTTCTTCCAAAACGGATTTATTGGTTCTTTTGGCAGCCCATGGCACTTTCAATATTCTCATCCAACACCATAACTCAAAAGCATCAATTCTTCTACTGTCTTATTCACTGTCCAACTTTGGCATGCATATTAGGTTATTGAAAATGCCATGGCTTGGGTCAGGCGCACCTTAGTCCTCAAGCTGACATCTTTGTTCTTCAACACTTTAAAAGGGTCTTGTGCAGCAGATTTGCCTAATGCAATACGCCGTTTGATTTCTTGACTGCTGCTTCCGTGAGTGTTGATAGTTGATCCAAGAAGAATGAAGTCCTTGACAACTTCAATCTTTTCTCCGTTGATAAGAATGTTGTTTATTGGTCCAGTGGTGAGGATTTTTGTTTTCTTTATATTGAGATGTAGTCCATTCCAAAGGCTGTGCTCTTTGATCTTCATCAGTAAATGTTTTAAGTCCTCTTCACTTTCAGCAAGCAAGGTTGTATCATCTGCATAATGCAGGTTGTTAATGAGTCTTCCTCCAATCTTGATGCCACGTTTTTCTTCATATAAACCAGCTTCTCGGATTATTTGCTCAGCATACAGGTTGAATAAGTACAGTGAAAGAATACAACCTTGTCGCACACCTCTGGAAGTTCTTTGTCAATGTATGCTTGCAGCTGTTTCTGTATTACCTTTAGTAAAACTTTACTCATGTGGGATATCAAAGAGATTGTCCAATGAGGATACGTGGCATGTAATCTAAAATGTTAGAAAATGCCTGTGGTTAGTAAGACTGACTTATTTGACTGCTAACTGATGTGATCGATATAATGATTTTATATTTTAATCTGAACTCTATTCAGTCTGCATTGCAGAGGTCTGCCTGATGAGCTCTCTTGAGTGGATCCATCAGGTATGACTGTTCATGTAACAAGTTGTTTTTAAAAGTTTTTTCAAAATTAACAAATTCAAGAGAAGATATCCTGTTTCTCTACTGGTGCTGCTGCTGTTCAGAACATCTTGAGAAATCCAGTTGGAATGAGCTCCTAACCACCTTATGAGAGCCATGTGGGATTCAGCCCAGTTTATAATCCTAAATTCTATTGCCAGATTGATTCAGTTGACATTTCTTACCAGTTTTAATTCTATTTCTGAAAAAGACCTCTTAAGAGAGGTATTTTGAGAATATTCAGTAACTAAACCAGTGTCTCCAATATAGGAACATTTTATTGGAATCAAAATTTCATGCCATCTTCCTTTATGTTGGCCAAGTGTGTACCACTGAAATATTCTCTTTTATATCAGTGTGAAAATTTATCCTGAAAACAGATATGAAGGGTGTTCTTAGCGCAAATTCAAAACATTTGGTTTCAGTTGAAAGAACCTAAATGATGGCATGAGGGGAGTGCTAAGTGATAGTTGTGAACTTGAACCCCTCAGCCTGGAAGGCACTCAAAATAATTGAAGAACTGCCTCCTCAAAGAATTGACCTTAATGACATGAATGGAACAAAGCTTTGAGACCTTCATTTGCTGATGTGGCACAACTCAAAATGGAGAGAAACAACAGCAAACATCCATTAATTATCAGAACATGGAATATACAAAGTATGAATCTAGGAAAATTGTCATCAGAAATGTAATGGAATGCATTAAAGTTGATATCCTAGGCATTAGTGAGCTGAAATTGACTGGTATTAGCCATTTTGAATCAGGCTATCATATGACTTAACTATTCTAGGAATGACAAAAAGGAATGACATCTAATTTGTCGTCAAAAAAGCATTTCAAGATCTATTTTGTAATCATTGCAATGAAACGAAATACCATAGGATGAATGTAAAGCTAATGTTCTTGCATGTAAACTATCACATAATTCACAATAAAAGCTTAAAAAACAACAAAGAAAGGTATACAGTTTAGAACAAATCTGAAAAAAAAAAGAAGAAAAACTCAAAGACTACAGCCCTCAGTATGGCTTGCACTTTAATGTAAAAAAAAACAAAAACAAAAAATCCTCACAACTGGACTAATAATATGATAAACAGAGAAAAGTTTAAAGTTGTCAGAGACTCAACAATCCTTGAAGCAACAGTCAAGAAATCACATAATGTATTACATTGGGCATATCTGCTGTAAAAGACCTTTTTTAAAGTGTTCAAGAGCAAAGCTGTCAGTCTGAGGGCTAAGGTGCACCTGACCCAAGCTATAGTATTTTCAGTCACCTCATAAGCATGTGTAAGTTGAACAGTGAATTAATGCACTTGAATTATGGTATTGGTGAAGACTATAGAAAGTACCATGAACTTCTAGAAGACAGACAAATTAGTGTTAGAAGTACAGGCAGAATGCTCCTTAGAAGCCAGGATGGCGAGACTTCATCTCGCTTACTTTGGACGTGTTTTTAGAAGGGACCAGTTCCTGGAAAAAGACATCATGCCTGGTAAAGTGGAGGGTCAGTGAAAAAGAGGAAGATGAGTGAGCAGCAACAACAGGCTCAAACATAACAATTATGAGGATGGCGCAGGATTGGCACTGTTTCGTTCTGCTGTGCGTCACTGTGTGTCAGAAACAACTGGACGGCACCTAACAACAACCATTGATAAGAATTTGCACCAGGTATCACCAAAGTAATCAATGTCCTTATTCCTAGAAGGGGACTTCATTACACTTCAGCACAAATGTGTTCTGTCCCTGTGATGGGCCAGGTAGGCACTGTGCCAGGTACTAAGGCAAATGCAGGACACAATGAAAAAGCTCTCAAAGTGTTAGTGTTCTCACTCAGTATCTGTAGAGTAGTGGACAACATCACCCCAAATTAGAATGTGTTTATAACCAAATTAAAATGAAGAGTTGATCCAAGTAGTGGTTGTGGGTGTATGAGGAGGCGTCAGAAAGTTCATGGAAAAATGGAATGAAAATATAATGGAATTAATCATGAACTTTTTAAAGCCCCCACCCCTCCTATCAAGGGTTCTGTGCTGAGCCCACAGAGTCCAGGAGTTTTGAACAGACTTTCTTCATCCTTAGTTACGGTTGCTCTTGGAGCCTTGTGATTGTCCTGTTGTCTTGTTAGTTGTCTCTCTTCCTTAATAGAACATTTTCTTCACCCACACTTGTGGCCTCAGAGGTTAGACTTAGATCTAGAAGCAGCTACAGCATGAAATGACCAGGCGTCACACACGGGCACTTAGAAGATAAAGTGTGATCAAAGGGTTCACTTTTAGAATTTGAGTATATTTTCAGTGATTGTTTCTGGAGGAAGAAACATGGGAATGTATTGAGAGAAAAGATCGGCTAGCTATTTATTCTGGGAAATCTAGGAAAGGCAGCAATAGTTAAGTGTCCGTTTTGGAAAGAGTTAAGGAGAGCCATATGAAGTAGGGACCCAAGTATACAGAAAGCCTCTCTAGTTGAATCAGGTTAATGTATAACATCTATGGAAAGCCTGTGGTGATGGCAAATCCACTATGCTGGCGTGTCCACAGTTTCTTTCCAGCTCAGAGACAGGATATGAGAGTGGAAATGTTGGGCAAAGCTGTATAATTCTGTTGGTGGAACTCAGTTTAGAATTTCAAATAAGACTTGAGAAATTGGAAAGTTTCATGTCAACTAGGGTTTGTGGTATTATATCAGTAGGAAAAGTAATTAGAGAAACTTTCAAGAAGGAATTTGTAGGTATCTATTAAATTAAACTTTGTTGTTTTTAAGTGCCAACAAGTTGGTTCCGACTCATAGAAAACCTGCATAGGATTGCCAGGGATTGGCTGATGAGTTTGAACTGCTCATCTTGTGCTTCATACCAACCTTGCAGTCCAGCGCATATCCTACAATGCCACACTTTAGTTGTTATTTAAATGTAATATTAACTTTCACAAGGGATTTGGCAAACTAACAAATGGTAGAATTGTCTGACTGTGGTGTTACAAAACCATTCTCTTTTACTAGAACAACAGCTAAGTATAATTACGCACTCATTTATTTAAAATAAGACTCTGGGAGTCCTGGTGTGGGTGAATGCACTGGACTGCAAAGTTGCATTAAACCACAATGTTGAAGGTTCAAGCTCACCAGCTGATCCTCAGAAACCCTGTACAGGATCATGATGAGTCCGAACCAACTTAACAGTACTTAACAACAACAACAAAAACTTGTTTCCACCATTAATCCTCGCAGATACATTTGTGGCTTTTCTGAGGCTCAGCAGAACTAGCTTTTATGGCATTGTGATATAAAGACTGAAGCTTACAAGCATTTGCTTCCCGTTCTCATTATTGACTGACGGAACAGCTTGCTTAGTCTTTCTTTCTTCTTTCAGTTTCTCTCTGTACTCTCATATTCCATTCACTTGAACCCTTTGATTGATCTCACTGTTTTTATTTGTGTAGGCTGAGACAGGATTGTCAAAAGTTAGCACAGTTAAGTGCTCTTTGATGATGGGTGGGGGAGGACAAAGGGGCCCTACGTTTTTCTCCTGGGAGATAGGGGTTCTCTGTTACTTGATTTTGATCCATTTAAAGTTCTGGTTCAGCTACGATTCTGTCCGTCACTGACAATGACAATACCTGGACTAAGGAAACTCTAGCTTCTTTCTGATGATTCCCTCTTATCTTTCTCACCTCAGGACCTTCTACCGGTTTGAGGCGGTGTGGGACAGCTCCCTACATAACTCCCTTCTTCTGAACCGAGTGACACCCTATGGAGAAAAGATCTACATGACCCTGTCGGCCTACCTAGAGGTGAGAAACCTCAGGGCTTCAGTTACTGCCAAATGTACGTTACAGCAGATCTGTCTTGTCCTCTTTTCTTCCTCCTCCTTGTCCTAAAGTCACTTACTTTTATTATACTTTGCTGGTTGGTCTGAAAGAACTGTTCCTATTCTCTATTTAACTATGAGGCACATGACTTTTATTGTAGCTTCAGGGTTTGTAGCTTAGGAGCCATGGTGTTACAGTGGTTGAAACGATCAGCTGCTAACTGGAAAGGTCGGCAGTTTAAACCCACCAGCCTCTCCATGGGCGAAAGATGAGGCAGTGTGCTTCTGTAAAGATTTCCAGTCCTGGAAACCTCCCAGGCAGTCCTACTCTATCCTGTAGCGTCACTGTGAGCTGGGATGGATTCAGTGGCAGTGGATGTGTTTCGTCACTAGTCTTCAAAGAATGTCTGATTTTAAAGCCAATGTCTCGCCTGGTTTTTATGTGTTCTATTTCATTTCGATTCTATAGAAATGTACACTTTTTTACTCTGCTCTTTTTGATAATTGGAGTCGTTGGGGTAAGGTATTGATTTTTATTTTCTTTTATGATGTGTGCATTTATTGTTATAAGTTGACCTCTGAGCATTGTTTTTGCTGTGTGCCAGAGGCTTTGATATGTTGTGTTTTCATTCTCATTTGATTCTAGGAATTTTTTAATGCTATTTCCTCTATTACCCAGTAGTTTTTATACAGGATGTTACTCAATTTTCATGTATTTGATTTTTTCCATGCATTTTTCCTTTGATCTTCCTGTTACTGATTTCTGAGTTTATAGGGTTGTGATCTGAGAAGATGCTTGATACTAGCTCAGTGTTTTTAATTCACCTTTTGTTTTTGTAGCTGTGGACAGAGGCTATAAGTATTAACAGCACAGACCCTAGAACCAGACTGTCAGAGTTCCAATCCCAGTGCTGACACTTATTGCCTGTGTATCCGTGAACACAGTTCTTCATCGCTCTATGCCTCAGTTTCCACATCTCTTATAAGGGGTGGTTATAACATTTACTTTAGAAGGTTAATGAGAGGTCAAATTAATAAAAAGTGTAGGAGAGTGCTTGGCATATAATCATCAGTGTTGCTAGGTACCATCGAGTCGGTTCTGACTCACAGCGACCCCGTGCACAGCACGGTAAGATACTGCCCGGTCCTGCACCATCCTCACAATTGCTGTTAGGTTGGAGCCCTCACTGCTGCCACTGTGTCGATCCATCTCATTGCAGGTCTTCTTCTTTTTCACTGGCTCACCACTTTATCAAGTACCTTGTCCTTCTCCAGAGACTGATCTTTCTGACAACATGTCCAAAGTCTCACCATCCTCACCATTTGATAAATATTAGTTATTACTACTACAGAAAAAAATTGAGATTTGAAGTCCTTCAGTCCCTGCATCTCAGACTAGCTTTCCAAATACAGCAGTGCACAGTCTCGGTCACATGTGCGCTGCCTGCCTGCTCATCGAGGCACATTCCTGTCTGCTTTCAGCTGGATCACTGCATTCAGCCAGCCGTCATTACCAAGGATGTCTGCATGGTCTTCTATTCCCGAGATGCCAAGGTCTCGCCACCACGCTCTCTGCGCAGCCTCTTTGGCAGCGGTTACTCGAAGTCCCCAGACTCGTAAGTGCTTGAGACAAATTTAGCTTCCAGTTTGTTTACCCAGTGACAACACTGGCTTATGACGTGCATAAAAATCACACTGAACAAGTAATGCTGAGCTATGGAATATTGTAAAATATTTTAATGAATTAGATTAGATGAGCTTAATTAGATTAGAATTGTCCTGGAAATTTTCATAAGCACTTCCCTCCCCATCTACACCCTCCCCATCTTCGCCCCAAAGATACCTTGGCAGTTTGTTCACCCAGTGTAGACTCAGCAGTCTTCTAGGAACCCTGGCTGGTATTAGCTTCCTGTCTGTAAACCAGTTAGTGCAATGACTGCTATATGGAGATTTGATTGATGTTGAAGGGTGGATGAATCAAGGAAGGAATATTACATTGTGGACATTTCCAGAGCAATTTTGCAGGAACTAAATGTTCTTGTACATATTATTATTAACAGATTACCATTGAGGTTTTTTTCTTTTTAAGATTTATTATCCATATAAAGCTATATCAGGAATAATACACTCAATTACTATTGTGCATCACCACCTAGCTTAATAAAATTAAATACATATTAATTACTGTACAAACATTCTCTTAAGTACTCCTTTCTACAGCTCACACCCAAGAGTTTTATGTTTATCATTTTCATAATCTAGACTTTCTTTCCCTCCTACTTTCCCTCTTACGTTAAGAAAAGGCAGATGTTTAGTTTTCACATTTGTTTTATAAAGTTCCTAGTTTATTGTTCTATCTTATTCTTCCTACTGGAATAGGAATGTTTAAAAGATTGAGGTGAAAACGGGCTCCTTCTAGAAGAGATCTGTATTAGGTTCAGAATAGGAATAGAACAATGAGGTATGAGACTGGTCTGTCATTAGACTTGAAGGTAGGTTGCAGTGCCTACAGAGGAATTAGGGTTTTAGCTAGAGAGAACTGAGCGTCCCCTGTTTTTGAGCTGTAAGAAATTAAGTGCTTGTTTATTCTTTTCTTCCAATAGCAATCGAGTTACTGGGATTTATGAACTCAGTTTATGCAAGATGGCAGACACAGGTAGTCCAGGTAAGCTCTGTGGACCCAGGAAGTGAAAGCTATCATTGCATATGTTAGAGGTATATTGTGTCAAAAACTTGGAGCATCTACCCATTTAGGATAGAGATAAAATATCTTGAAAACGATGTATGTTTTACAAGCAAGTCTTTTAGTGATAGTGATGGTGGGGTTACTTTTTTCAGAGTTGAAATGTTGGTTTATCACATGCAAGATGATAGTTATAAAAATTACATTGAACAAGTTTTGCTGAGCTATGGAATGTTATTTAAAATTTTGAATGATTTAAAATTATCTTAGAAAATTTCGTAAGCATTCACTTCTCAATCTTTATCCCAGAGATAATTTATGTTGCTGTTGTTATTGTTACATGCCATTGAGTCGTTTCCAACTCATAGCAACCCTGTATAAGGTTTCCAAAAAGAGGCTGGTAAGTTTGAACCGTTGACCTTGTGGTTCACACCGACCTTGCAGTCCAGTACTTTATACCACAGCACCACACCAGGATAGGTGCTGTAAAACTAGAATTTGAATCCACCCCCACAACCTCCCCCAGTGGCATGGAAAGGAGCTCTGGTAGCATAGTGGTTATGAATCGAGCTGTAAACCTTAAGGTCAGCAGTTCAAAACTACCAGCTGTTCCACGGGAGAAAGATGAGGCTTTCTGCTCCCGTAAAGATTTACAGCCTCGGAAACCCTGTACAGGGTCGCTATGAGTCAGAACTGACTCCACAGCACATCACCACCACCACCACCACCAGTGGCATGGAAAGAAGTTATAATTATGTCCAAGTTGTTCTGTGACATTTTTAATCCCTATTTGGACTGCTACTTCCTCTACCTTCATGAACTTCAGCAGTATTTTTATTTCTGTGCTTGTACAACATGAGTCAAAACTGGGAATTAAAAAAAAAAAAAATTAAACATTTTATTACTGTGAGTTTTAGAGAACATTTTAGTTTGTTTTTGGGGACATTTTAGAAAAAGCAGTCAGGCTCCCACAAGTAAGATTTAAATTTTTTAAAAAAGACTTTAAGTATGAATCTAAGTCCCAATGGCAACTAATTATAGTGTTCAGACCATTTCTTAAAGAAATGTTAAATTAATATAAACTCATTATGTTTTATATATAACCAATATAGCATTTTAAAAATTAATGGAAAATGAAGGGGTGAAAGCTGTCTGTAATCTACCATCCTGACTGAAGTAGTTTGTGTGTCTGTGTTTGTGTGTGTATATGTCTGTGAACTTACTATATTTCACATCAGTATATTTTTACATATTTTGAATCATAATGTTGAGAATATTTAATTTCTGTATATTTTCAGTAAACATAATTACCATAAACATTTTCTCAAATTGCATTGCAATCTTCCTGATTATTTAAAAATGGTAAAACTCAGTTTTAAAAGAAGTTCAAAGAATTTGGGGCAAGGAGAAGGGGTAAATTTAATAATAAAATCTCATGTATTTTGAGACCAACTATCTTAGCTTGCCATGTATGTTGTTTTTGTTGAGTGCCATTGAGTCAGTTATGACTCATAGTGACCCCAAATATGGTTCCTGGTGGGTTTGAACCACTGACCTTGAGGTTCAAACTGACATTTCGGTCCAGTGCTTATCTTAGAGCACCACACCAAGACTTGTGAGTCATTAATTCATTTTTAGCTCCAATTGGAATTCAGTTTTTTTGCTAGTGGGAAAAATACATTGCTCTTGTTTTAGGCATGCAGAGGAGAAGAAGGAAAGTCTTGGATACGTCAGTGGCATACGTCCGGGGAGAAGAGAACTTAGCAGGCTGGCGGCCCCGTGGAGACAGCCTCATCCTGGAGCATCAGTGGGAGTTAGAGAAGCTAGAGCTCCTCCATGAGGTAACCCAGGGCATCCCAGCTCTCACATGCAAGCAGACTTGGGCAGGATTCCCTCACTGGCAGTCTTAACTTCCCTCTTCTCCTCACCATCTAGGCTTTTCCATTTCGATCACGATGCGGGTGTAATATTTTGCTTAGTAAGGTCTTGATGAGATTAGTGTTTGCTGAGACAGTAGTGTTGATCTTTTCAGGTGGAGAAAACCCGGCACTTCTTGCTGCTTCGTGAGCGACTTGGTGACAGCATCCCCAAGTCCCTGAGCGACTCACTGTCTCCCAGCCTGAGCAGTGGAACTCTCAGCACCTCTACCAGCATCTCCTCTCAGATCTCAACCACCACCTTTGAAAGTGCCATCACACCCAGTGAGAGCAGTGGCTATGACTCAGCAGACATTGAAAGCCTGGTGGACCGAGAGAAAGAGCTGGCAACCAAGGTGTGACTCCCTTCCTCCCTGCCCTCAGTCTCTGAGAGTTAGACTTTCCGTTTACTCATTCTCAGCACGTGTCTTAGAGGGTCTAAGTTTCAAGGCTGGATATAGAGTTAAAGAAGACTCCATTCCTGCCTCTGATAAGTATGCAGACTAGTGGGTTACAGGATTGTAACAAGAATACAGTAGAGGTGTGGACAGAATGTGATGATGGGACCCCGAGCAGAGGCCTCCCACAGGCGAGGACTTGTGGACTGGCCTTGAAGGATGCACGGGACTGGGGAAAGTCAGCGATGGCCTTCTGCTTGACCAGTGTTAAGGGACTTTGGGGGAGAGGGATAGGCGATAGTGTTGGAGAGCCAGGTAGGAAGGTCCAGATCATGAAGGCTGTGTGTACCTCTAAAGCGTTTAGATTGTATCCAGGGAAGGATCTGGAACCACTCACAGTTTTCAACAGGTACTATGTTTGGGGAGCATGGTGGCTCCACACGTTAAATGCTGGACTGTGGATCACAGGTCCGTGGTTTGAGCCCACCGGCAGTGGCAGCTCCACGGGTGAAAGATGAGGCTTTCTGCTCCTGTGAAGATTTAAAGCCTCTGAAATCGTGCACAGGGTTGCTATGAGTCAGTACCAACTCAACAGCACTTAGCAACAACAGTTGTGTTTGGGGGAGCATTAGTGGCTTTGTAGGATAAGCACTGGATTGCTAAACACAAGGTCACTAGTTCAAACCCACCAGCTGCTCTGCAGGAGAAAGAAGAAGCTTTCTGCTCCCATAAAGATTTATAGCCTTGGAAACCCTATACAGGGTCGCTATGAGTGAGAACCAACTCAGTGGCATCTAAAGAAAGAACAGCATTGTGTTTTAGAAGGATTTCTTTGGCACTAATCCAGAGGATGGAGTCCTGGTGTGGTGCTATAGGATAAACACTTGACTGCAAGATCGGTTTGAACTGAAAGGTTGACGGTTCAAATCCACCAGCCATTCCTTGGAAACCCTATACAGGGTCACTGTGAGTCAGAACCTAGTCCACAGCCCCTAACAACAACAACATTACAGAGGATGAATTGATGTTAAAGAGCGACTAGAGGCAGGGAGAACTCTTAATTGCAGTAATTTGTAAGAAAAATGATAATGGTTGTTTAGCTTAGGGCAGTGATATGTGTGGCCAAAAGAAAGGGGAATCACTTAAGAGACCTTCAGAAGGTAGAATCCACATTCCTTGTTAAGTGGATAGTGTAGGAGAAGGCAGAAGAAGGGTGAGCGCTGAGGGTGACTCCCAGAGGTGTGGTTTCTGGACAGTTGGCTGAAAAGGAGCTAGAGAAGTAAGAGGAGTTTTGTGTTTGTTTCGCTTTACTTTAATAACTGAGTAGGCTTCTAGATTATCTAGAAAGCTATGTCCTGAGAACTCACTGAGGCTAACATGCCTGTTAGTACCAGGATGACTGGAGAATTAAAGGGTTGCTGTTGCATTCTTCCTTGAAAGAAAGATGAGGCTGTCTGCTCCCATAAAGATTTAGCCTCAGAAACTCTATAGGGTCAATATGAGTTGGAACCAACTCTAATAGCAGTGAGATTTTTTTTGGTTTATTGCATTCTGAAGTACTTTATGGTGTCTGCAGTAATTCACCATAATGTTTGTAGTCTGGAGAAGGGCTTTTTAAATCTACGTATTTTGTTATATCTTTATTAGCTATATGCCACACTTCTTTTAAGGAGCCCTGGTGGCATTGTAGGATAAGCACTGGACTGCTAACTGCAAGGCTGGCAGTTGAAAACCACCAGCTGCTGTGAGAGAGAAAAATGAGACTTTTTGCTCTGTAAAGGTTTATAGCCTCACTGTGAGTCAGAATTGACTCGACTGCAGTGGGTCTGGGGTATTAGACTTCTCCTGCTCTGTATGCTTAGTAAGTGGTGATTTGGGCAGAGCGTGAGCTCCTTTATGAGTCTCCGTGATCTTCTTTTCCCTCCTCCCTGCCACACACTCATTAGGCCATTGAACTTGTAGGCTCAGCTTACACTTTTCTTTCTCTTGTTTAGTGCCTGCAACTTCTTACCCACACTTTCAACCGGGAATTCAACCAGGTGCATGGCAGCATCAGTGATTGCAAGGTGAGCATTTGAACTCTGGCTTGCATCCAGGATGTTGGTGACTGATTTTTCCAGAGCCTCTCCTACCTTCTTTCACCAGATTATATGACTTTTTAGGTGGCTTGAAGTGAGCATTATTGTATTGGAGAATTTGTGATCTCTCCCTTTGTATTTATTCTAATATTTCAGAGTCAGGACACTGGCTTCCAAAGATATAAGTATCTAAGAGCGATTGTCAAATGTGAAATATGTCTGTTTTCTCCCTAATCACTTGGAGAAGAATCTCCTGTAGGAAAGTGATAAGTCACCCTATGACAGATACAAGAAGGCATCAAATTTTACCTCCTTCAGATGAACATTTCTAAGAACTTGAGTCATTCACTCTATTCTAGTCATTTTGACCTTTTTTTGCTGTTTCTCAATGGCTCCAAGCTTATTCCTGCCTTTGGTGTCTGCACACTTGTGCCTTTACCTAGAATGATCTTCTAGATATTGCATTATTGGCACCCTTGTCTCTTTCGCTTTTCTGCTCAACTATTACGTCCTTAGAGCAGCTTTCTGTAGCTATCCTTTGTAAATCCAGTAACTCTCTGACACCAATCCATCACTGCTTTATTTTCTCCATAGCACTTAATAGTGTCCAACATGTTCTAAAGTGCTTGTTTGTTGATAGTTACCTTCCCCATGAAAATGAACGCTCCAGGAGGGCATGGGCTCTACCATATTGTTAGTACTGAGCTTGGCGTTTAGTACGTGCTCTCACGTAGAAGACTATTTCACTGGTGCACAAAACCTGTAGCAGTATACACAGCCAGCCTTGCCTCTCAGATCACAACTACCTGTAGGCTAATTTAGCAAATGATCTTCTGAAGTTGATTGGTGAGAGTGAGAGAGCCCATTACTGCAAAAAGCAGCGTGTTTCACCTGAGTCTCACATGCCACGTTCTGTCTGCTTCCAGTTGTCTGATATCTCTCCAATTGGTCGGGATCCCTCTGTGTCCAGTTTCAGCAGTGCTACCCTCACACCCTCTTCTACCTGCCCCTCTCTGGTAGACTCAAGGAGCAGCTCTTTGGATCAGAAGTAAGTACCTAGCTAGCACTATGAGAAACTGATCTAAGAATCACAGAAAATGACAACTTTTCTCCAACTCCTGGTTCTCGGCAGAGGGCCACCCTTCCCCACTAGGCAGTATTGGGGACTGTGAGGGAGTTGTTTATGGGATATAATAGTGGATGGTAGGACCAGGGCTGCTAAAAACCCCTGCCCTCGAAGGAAAGGTCCCACACAGAGAAGTGACCCACCCAAAATGTCACTGGCACCATCTAGAGAAACCAGAGGGACATGGCAGCTGGATTCAGTCTGCCTTTTATGTCCTACTCTCTTTTGGCATCAAGTCATTCATGTCTCCTCTGCTTATCTTAAGCTCATTTCATTGTTCCACTCCCACCCCAGTTTGTCCCCAGTCATAATGTCAGAAATTTCCTATCTTGGGAAAACTATTTTGCTGATATTATTTTTTTAACTTCAGTAAGAAGTATAACTATAACATATCTTATAGTCACTGCTCAGTTGATACTGTCCCTGTCACCGTATGTTTCTCTCACCTGGAAAAACCCATCTGGTTATCATCCAACTCTCCCTGCACCAACATGTGGCTAGAGAAAAATACACAGCCAGGTAATTTCATTAAGTTTAAGATGTCATCAGCAAAAACATTATTTATGTCTAAGAAAGAACAAAAAGCACTGCTAACTAAAATGTGGTCACCATCACTTATGCATCCCAATTCCAGAGAATCAGTGAAGTGCTCCGCGTACATGTTCTGGGGCAGCTCTGCTCTGTGTGTGCCCTCAGGAGCCAGGCCTCCCCACTTCCTGCTGTGCCCACCATTCCCTAGGCCAGTGGCTTTCAGACTGGAGCTGTATCATAATAACCTAGAAGGTGTGTGAAAGCAAAGATCGCTACGCCCCTCCCCACTTTCTGATTGTGAAGGTCTGGAGTGGGCCTTGTGAATGTGAATTTCCAACTCCCACACAAAGCAGATGCTGCTGGACCAGGGACCATACTTTGAAAAACACACCCTAGGTGTGGCCACATGACTAAAGAGAAACAGAAAATGAAATGGAGTTTATGGTCAGACACTTGTTCAGAAAGCATCAGAACAGGAAAAGACACTATGGCTTGGTGTGAGCATCAGTTTCCTTCTTCAATTCAAAAGAATGACACCAGTTATATACTCTGCTAAGCTCTACTGAAACCAATGTTTGCTAGACCTATGGTGTGCCTTCTGGTGACATGGTTCAACACATTACGCATTGACCTTAACTGAGCCTCTTGTTACTGCTTCCTCACAACCTCTCTCTTTTAAAGGACCCCAGAAGCCAATTCCCAGGCCTCCAGTCCCTGCCCAGAATTTGAACAGTTTCAGATTGTCCCAACTGTGGAAACATCCTATTTGGCCCGAGCAGGAAAAAATGAATTTCTCAATCTTGTTCCAGATATTGAAGAAATTAGACCTGGGTAAGTACTGTGTTGACCAAGGATGTGAGATATAAAAAAGATAAAACAATAAGAATTTACTCTGGCACTTCTGCAGTAGGTCGTGATGTAGTCTTGTTGTTGTTGTTAAGTGACATCAAGTTGGTTCCGAACCATAGCGATCCTGTATAGGGTTTTCAAGGAGCATCTTGTGAGTTCCAGCCATCAACCTTGCAGTTCAAACCAACTTTGTAATCCAGTGCATTAACCCACAGCACCACAGCAGGGCTCCAATGTAGTCCTAGGACTGATGGAATTGGGGGTGAAAGACCGGGGCTGTCTTTGCCCCATTTGTGATGTGATGCCGTCTCCACTCTGCAGACCACACTGCTGTGGCACTTTGTACCCTTTTGCTGCATTACTGTGGCAGATAGGATGATAGGTCTAGTAGACCGTTTACCTGGTTGGTTGGTTTGTTTGGTTTACTCTAGGAACTTAATCTAGTTGAGACATATGTTGATGGTCTGTAGCTCATGACCCTTTTCTTTTGTGAGAAACTCACTTCTTTTGTTCCTGTCCTTTTCAGCTCAGTGGTCTCTAAAAAAGGATACCTGCATTTCAAGGAGCCATTTTCCAGTCACTGGGCTAAACATTTTGTTGTGGTCCGCCGTCCGTATGTCTTCATCTACAACAGTGACAAAGACCCAGTGGAGCGTGGAATCATTAACCTGTCCACAGCACAGGTGGAATACAGTGAGGACCAGCAGGCCCTGGTGAAGGTCAGTCCTGCCCTTTGCTGACTCTTCATTGCCACATGTCCTTCCCTGTTGAGGGAACCCTGTTGAGTGGAGCTGAATCCTTCCTTCACATCTGGTCTCCTGATCCTTCAGCATGATGGGCTGCGTGCCCTATGAATATGGCAGGAGGGCCACAGTGCTCAGTATCTGTAGTAACTTCCTCATCTATCTGTGTTCCTTTCAGATGCCTAACACCTTTGCCGTGTGCACAAAACACCGTGGTGTTCTTCTGCAGGCTCTCAATGACAAAGACATGAACGACTGGTTATATGCCTTTAACCCACTCCTGGCTGGCACAATACGGTTAGATTTGCTCCTATGTTTCTCTCTTTGGCTTTTGGTTCTAGAGACATCAGCATAAACAGGTTAAAATAGAAGAAGGAAAGGAGTACAAATGTGGGTGGAGGGGAATAATGGGAACTTTTTGTTCTTAAGGGACGGTCACTGGAGTCTAGGGGTCAAAGTAGAGGGAAGATGGCAAACATCTTAATGATCTCCAAATACCAGCCCTGAGAAATCCTCTGAAGGTTTTGTGTCCCAGAGTCCCCAGGGAGGAAGAGGCTACAGCCTAGTCTGTTTGTCCAGCAAACGCAGAGACCTGAGCCTGCAGGGTGGGCTAGGGAGCAGTACAGGCAGTCCCCCCGGTTTCATGTCTGGCTTACAGACAACTCCTCTTGTTGTCAAGTGCCATCAAGTCAGTTCCAACTCATAGTAACCTTGTATAGGGTTTCCATGAAGCAACTGCGTGGGTTTCAGCTGTCGCCTTGTGATTAGCAGTCCAGTACTGATCCTGCTTTGCCACACCAGAACCCCCTACCCTAGTAGTGTAAAAAGGATACATGCATAGAAATGCAAGACGTCAAGATAGTTATGTAAACATTCAGAATTCATTTTTTCCTGCTCCTTCCATGTGTTCTTACTGTGTCAAATGGAGCAGTTCCCTCAAGAATGTACATGCTGAGTCAAAAATTATCCACACTCTGGCTGTAGAATTTATTTTAATCAACTTTTAGAAAAGACATATACATCATTTTTTGATACACTTTGCCCATCTCTCAACAAGCTTTCGTATCCCCTTATTAAAAAATATCTCAGGCTGAGCTGCCAGCCACGAATGCACTACCATCTTCACTTCTTCATCAAAGATGAATCTTTGTCCTCGAAGGGCTGCTTTCAGGGGACCAAACAGGTGAAAGTCCGATGGAGCAAGATCAGGACTATAGGGAGGATGCTTTAACACCTCAAAATGAAGTTTCTGCAGCATTAACAGTGTGGGCAGAGGTGTGTGGACGTGCATTGTCATGCAAGATCACAAACAGTCCTCTGTGTTTAACCCAAAGTTTAGGCTTCAGCTCTTCAGTGAGCATCTCACTGTAATAAGCACTGTTGATTGTTGAGCCTTCTTCCTGATAGTGCTCCAGTACTGGCCCTTGAGAATTCCAGAAAACTGTAAGCATCAATTTTCCAGCTGATGGTTGACTCTTGAACTTTTTCTTGGTCAGAGGTTGAGGATGTTTTCGTTCCATACTCTGCCGTTTACTGTCAGACTCGTAGTGATGAGTCTATGTCTTGTCACCAAAAAGGATTTTTTTAAAGAAACTTGCCCTTCCTTTGAGTATCGGTCCAAATTTTGTTTGCAGATGTCACGTTCCCACTTGCACGGCAGTGACCTTGAACAGAAAGCGCTGATAAGACAGTTCAGCCAACAGAAGTTTTAGTATAACTGGAGTACAGATCATTTTTGGCTCACCCTCGTGTTAAGTATACTTATTAGGTGTTGTTAGGTGCTACCAAGTCGGTTCCAACTCATAGAGACCCTGTATAGGGTTTCTGAGGAGCGGCTGGTGGGTTGGAACCGCTGACCTTGTGATTAGTAGCCCAGTGCTGATCCTGAAGCCCCACACCAGGAGTCCTGCTTGTCCTTTAATGTTCTGTATTTGTTCCCACTTTGAAACAATTGAGTCAGCCTCTACTCAAATTCTTAGTCACCGTTAACTTCACTTGTTGCACCTGCAGCTGCGAGCCTTGTCTTGAGCCAGTAAGAAAGACTAAGGAAGAAGCGTGTGTACCTGCTCTGACTTCACCCACAGATCCACCTTCCACACACCCTTGGGAATGGGTCTCAGTTGTAATCCAGGGACTGCTGGTAGTTCAAGGAGGGAACCACAAGGGAAAAGACCTGGAGGCCAGCTGTCTAATCCTGTCATCTCTTCTGTCTCCCACAGGTCAAAACTCTCCCGCAGACGCCCGAGCCAGCTCAAGTACTGACTCTGCTGCGGCTGTCATGCGCCTTCAGAGATAAAGAAAGTGTTACCTCTCATTCTCTTTGTGATTCTTGATGGTTTTGTAATCCTGTGGCTTAACTCCTTGCCCTCCTTGTCCAGCACTTTTCTAGCTCTCCTGTCCCCATCTCCATCGCTCTGTTCTCCTTTCTTTTTTCCTGTGCTGAGAATCTTGTTAGTAGCATGTGGCCTAACAAAAGGAAAAAAAAAAAAAAAAGAGGAGATCCAGTGAATCTTCAAATTATTTTTTTGATGTATTTGGGCTTCCTTTTGTATAAGTCCCTGTCCCGACCACCTCTGATGTCTGTACTGCTGTATTTGGGTATCTTTGTCTTTCAAAACAACTGCATCCTTTTTTTCCCCCCCTTTTCTTTGTTTGTGATGGTGATATCATTTTAGTTTTTCTTGGGTGGCTTAGAGACAAAGGGAAGAGAAATGTGACCATTTTAGGAACCCAGAGGAAAACCCCCTCTGTGTCTTTGTGTCTTTTTGTCATGGCTGATCCCTGTATTTCCACAGGAAAAGGTGTTGCTGAGCTTAGAAATGCTTCTCTGAGCAGAAATAGGGCTCATTTAGAACACAGTTAGGGATTTTCATTTCATGTAAGTGAGAAGTGAGAAGATTTGTAGCCCAGGGACAATGGCTGTTCTTGAACTTAAGGGAGAAGCCAAGGGTACTGCCAGTCAATTCAAAAGGACCGTAGAATTGGGCAGTGAGGCATGAGGCCAGGCAGTAAGGAGAATGCTTACATGTCATCATAGGAGGAGTCCTCTGAACTGTGTCTATTAGGAAGGAGGCTCTGTTCACAGTTTCTGAATTCTGTCCTTGGCATTTCCATTCTGGATGTTGGTGATAGTTTGAAATTGGGCAGTGTCGTACACAAATATCCCACAAGGGGGCAATGCTTCACTTTCTAGTGATTACTTAACAGTTGCGTTGTTATCAGAATAATGCTGAGTAGGAATCTCTTGATTGTTGGCGCTCACCCAGATCAAGAAAACATAGCTGTCAAGTATAAACTTGGAAGTCTCACTCTGAATTCAGTGGTCGGTGATGCTTAGCCAGTGACAAGAAGCAGTTTTTCCATCCTCTAAAATAAACACAGCAGGCTCTGCCTTACAAACCCAAGATTAAAGCCAACCCCCTACCACCATTAAAAAAAAAAAAAAATCAAGAAAACACTTGGAGGCAGAGAAGAGTGTGCACCTGAGCCCTGGCCCTCAGAGCAGCTGTTTCTTGCCTGCCTGCATCCCTCGTGTCTCCTCCTTTCCATGAGTGTGGAAATCTTGTCAGAGGAGGAAGGAGGAAGCTCGCTGCTGGTAGTCGCCTCCTCTGACAGGCCAGGTGTCTTGACTTCCAGAGGCCACCATAGAGGATACTTTTTCTCTCAGCTGCCAGTAAAATTTACAGGAAGAATATGGGGAGAGGCTACAGATTACTACAGGGTTTTTTGCCGCTCTTTACATGGTACTTAACAACAACCTCTCTTTACCTGCCATCCTTTACACCTTCCTCACTCGAACCCCTGCCTAACCATCCATCAGGCATTTGGAAAATTACCCAGGGTCTCCTCTGTGGAGGACCAGGGGTTCTCAGCACTGAGGATGCTGGCTTTCCACTTCAGGCAGCAGAGGCCATGGACTTGTCCCCTACAGAGAAGTTGCCAAGGAGATTCGTCACCACCCAGTCAGGCCCTGACTTCTGACCTCCTGGCCCCGGCACATCTCTGCAGATCAGGCCTCCCTGCTGTCCTCAATGTGAGTGCCTACAGGAGGAGGGAAAGTCAGCCCCCAGAGCTGAGCAAAGGAAGGGGGGATGGGTAGAAGTCACACACTGACAGCACAGAAGGAGGGAGGAGCAAAGACTCTGGCGGATTCTTTTATTTTAAAAAAACTTCTGTCTTTAAAACCTAGGTCACTAACTGTAATGGTACATGTTTTCCAAATGCTATGTGAGGTTGTTAATATAGTAAGAGGATTCTTCATTGTTTAATGGACACAGTACACCCTTCTGGTATGTGCTCAAACCAGGATCTGTCAGTGCTTAGAGACAGCTTCCTGGGCTGGATTAAATCTAATTTCAGGGAACTGAAGATGAATTTGGAAGGTTACTTTTAAAATGAAATCACAGATGCTGCTACTGTTTAGGAAGTCTGGTAGAAGGACCCTTGTCTGTGGCAAGGGGGGCCCGAGAAGGCTGAGAGACTGAAACAATTCTAACTCAAACAAAAGTAGCTGGAAAAGTCTTTGCTTTAAGGGTGTCAGGCACGAGAATGAGTCAGACTGGACTGTCTGCCCACCATGTGCCCAGAGAAGCGGCTTGTTACAAAGCCAGAGGTAGCAGGACCTGGGCTACAGCATTGTGTGGCCTCTCCATGCTGGGCCATCCCTACTTTGAAGCTCTCAAAAAAAAAAAAAAGTAGGAACTTTAGCTGCAGCCATAGCCTAGACAGGAAAATGAAATTTCTTTCTGAGGAGTATTTATCTGAGCCTGAAGCACTTATCCTTAACTTCCTTTAAGCAAGGGAGGTGGGGGAGAATTTTGAAAGAAAGAAAGAAAAGAAAACTCTCCAGCAAATTAAAGAGAAATCAGTGTTGGCTCTGAAACGATATATCTCCTTCCCCCCACCCCTACCCCCCAGCTCCCACAGCCCTCCTTTCTCCTACCCAGGAACAGCAGGACATCACAGCACCCCGCTGGCTCTGTGCCCGGCCTGGGAGTCAGTCAGCCCTCAGGCCAGGGCTGTGCTCAGGGGCCAGCCAACCCATGCGCACAGTCGGGCACAAGGTGGCCGCTGTGACAGACCCCAGTGCTGCTCTACGATAGAACGGTTTCCCAGCCAAGAAACCATGGTTTAGTGGGTTTCTTTGTTTCTGTTTTTGTTTTCCTTTAGCTACACAGAACCTACACTACTCATGTTTTAGGTGGATTCTTCCATTTTTTAAGATGAAGGGATAAATTAAATTATTATGAAAGGTCTTATTGGATCAAAAAGTGTGAGGACTTTTCTGGCACCTATTTCAAAGCAAACACTTCGTTGCCTGCTGCTTGTGTAATTTACAGGGATACTCCTTTGTCAGCTCTATGCACATATATCTCTAATCCATTGCACATGGGACTGGAAAAGGAAGGGTTCTTCTCTTAGCCCCTCTGGGTACTTGGCATCTCCCTCAGGCTGTGTTCCACTCAGACTCTCCTGTACAGGATAGGACTGTGTGTCTGTCTGCCTGTCTGATTTGGGTCCTTTGCTTTTCCTTTCCATTTCCTTTATAAAATGTGATTGTTAACCTGCTCCTTAAAAAGACAAGACTAATTCTGCCGCTGCTCTCAGCAAATTTGCTGACTGACTGTCAAATAGGGCTCTTAACGTGTGTGTACTGCAGCTGTCCACTGGTTAAGCGGATTCCCCCGAGGACGTGGGCCAGACCGTGGCTCTGCGTAGCAGGAATATCTTCATTTGTGCTTCCTTAGTTCATGGAAATAGCAGCTGAGAGATTATTTGTTTTTCAAAAGGCCATTTATGAATTAGTACTTGAGCCCTAAAAAATCTGAGGACAGCCTTCAATCACTTGAGAGTAAATTATAATTGGTATAAAATTCATGTCAAAAACTCACAGCCACCAGGTTGTGTCAGATGGAAAGCCCAAGCTGAGGTTGGTTTCTGGCCAAACCCTGGCTGTGGTGTGGTATTTTCCTGTCTCCGAGGTCATCTTTGTTTCCCAGGCTGCAAATTCTGGCATCACTGACTGCGGGACCCATCAGCTTCCTGACGTATAGGCATTGTCTTCGGCTCTGTGGCTCTACAGTCCTGTCCCTTGAGAGTCACGTCTTCTGTCACCATTCTCATACACTACAACAAAACCCATGAAGCATAAGTGGCCTTTTTGAACCAAGACTTTGCAAACCAGTCTCTCCCCAGTGAAGGAGTTAAGCGCATTAGCAACAATGTACATTGTTAATTTCCAAATTTCATTTTCATGTTTTATTTTGTAAATATTAGCCTATGTTTGGAGCTTGAGTATACAGAATGTAAATATAGTTCTTGTATTTGTACTAATTTTGATTCTTTTGCTGTATAGCCTTAGGTGTGCAATGCAGACAATTATCTAACTGTGTATGGTAACCTTGCATCACGGAATTAGTAGTGGACGAGGCAAAAACAATAAAGGTACAACCAGTGCATCTGAAGGTTCTTGGTGTGTGTTTATGATTCTTGCACCCTTTGAAAGGTGTTGACACACAAGGTTCTTTTCTTGATTTGCAAAAATAATTGCCTTCTCAGCAGAAGTCGCCATGCCATGACCTCATGTTCCTTTCCCGATGGACAAAACAGGGACTGTCATCTCATCAGAACAGCTCATCTGGTGCTGGTTCTTTGGAGGTGAAAGTGCCTTCCTCTCAAATCTGGAAGTAACTGGTTTAACTGAAAGATTTGTCAGTGATCCTGAGTCCTCTTTGTGGAGTTGAAAATTCATCATGTCGACTTAGTAAGCACCCATTTTGGTAGAGCACCAGCAGGGAACAACAGAAGGTGGGAGGGTGAAGAGGCATTCAGACAGGAAGCAATTCATTCATCAGTGTTTGCGTGCCCCACCACCACCACACGGTTCCAGTGGAGGAGAGGACAGGACATTCATGAACACAGTTACAGTGTCATGTGGTAAGTATTACAGAGAACAAAGCTGGACAGGTTGCTGAGGGATGAGACGAGGCTCCTTTTTAGATCATGACAGGGAAGGACCCTCATAAAAAATGACCGGAGACTCGAATGGAAACTTTCCCGGTAAATCACACAAGTCCTGGACCAAGGTGCTCCGAGCAGAGAAATGAAGGAGTGTCCTCAGTCCATTCCAAATATAGCAAGCAAGGTCAGTATGGAGTGAGAGGGGGGCAGTAGAAGACATCAAGTATTTAGGACTTAGGACTTCAGACTGTTTGAGAAAAGTGGGAAGCCAGTGAAGGTTTCTGGGAAGTACTGTGATCTCTCTGTTTTTTAAGAGACCAGTCAGGTGTGTGATGACGGGAATAACATGAGTAG